GGAATACAATTTATTTACTATCTTTTAAGACTACCAAAGATACAAAACTACAATGGGTCCAGTATAAAATTCAAAATCAAATTGTACCAGTAAATAAATATTTGAAAAAGATTGGCTTAACAAATAATGACAAGTGTAACCTATGCAAAAATAATGTAGAAGATTTAGAACATATGTTTTGGGAATGTAATGAAGCTCAGGTCATTTGAACCAAACTAGAAGAATGGATAAAACAAAAAACAAATAAAACAGTAGTTTTTGATTTGAAAATGATATTGTTTGGACATACAGTTAACATTGTCACATCACAACCTCTCATGTTCCTTATTTTACTTACAAAATACTTTATTGTTTGTGCATCAAAAAGACAAGACAGAGTTAACTTCAACTTGTTAAAAGAATTTATTGCACAGAGATATACAATCGAAAGAGTTGTTCACATAAATACATGTAAACAAATTCATTTTTTTTCAAATATGGGAAGAGTTGGAAAATGTATTTACATAAAAAACAACAACATTAATAAATTACAACCTATCCATATGGCATAAAGATGTAACTTTTTTAAAATACGATTTCTTACTGTCTTAGGTATTAAAGCTTCCTCCTACAATTGTATAGCAGAATGTGTATATATTATAGGATTCTATATATACATATATGTTTATGCATGAAATACAATTGAAAACCTTTATAAAGAATGAAGGAGTGTTACAATAAAAACACCTACTTATAATACACAATTTTGTTTTAAATGAATTTACTTGTATACTATGTGTACATGTTTATACACATTTCAAATCCTGATATTAAAAAAAATTAGCTGACTTATATACAATATATATCTGTACAATTTTTATGCTTAGTTCAATTGAAGTTCACTTAAATAGCAATGTAGATAGAAATTATTATTAATTCAGAATATATATATGGATATATATATATAGCCTTGTAATAGTTTATGTCTTTGTGGTGTGATGTAAATGTATACATTATGTGACGTTTAGTTATAAGTAATGTTTGGTTTAAAAAAACACTTCTCAGATACTGAACACCAAAACTTATCCCAAGCAAGGAGAAAAACTCAAAGATGTGACTCCTGTGAGAGGATATGATATTTTACATGACGTATCTGTGAAGGCAAAAAAAATACGCATATCTCTATCAATACTTACACATCATAAAATACACGTCTCTCTATCAATACTTACGTATCATAAAATACGCGTCTCTCTATCATTACTTACTCATCATAAAATACGCGTCTTCTATCAATACTTATATATCATAAAATACGCGTCTTCTATCAATACTTACATATCATTAAATACGCGTCTTCTATCAATACTTACTTATCATAAAATACGCATTTTCTATCAATACTTACATATCATAAAATACGCGCCTCTCTATCAATACTTACATATCATAAAATACGCGTCTCCCTATCATTACTTACTAATCATAAAATACCCGTCTCTCTATCAATACTTACATATCATAAAATTCGCGTCTCTCTATCAATACTTACTTATCATAAAATACGCGTCTCTCTATCATTACTTACTTATCATAAAATACGCGTCTCTCTATCAATAGTTTACTAATCATAAAATACGCGTTTCTCTATCAATACTTACATATCATAAAATACGCGTCTCTCTATCAATACTTACATATCATAAAATACGCGTCTCTCTATCAATACTTACTTATCATAAAATAACCGTCTCTCTATCATTACTTACTTATCATAAAATACGCGTCTCTCTATCAATAGTTTACTAATCATAAAATACGCGTTTCTCTATCAATACTTACATATCATAAAATACGCGTCTCTCTATCAATACTTACATATCATAAAATACGCGTCTCTCTATCAATACTTACTTATCATAAAATAACCGTCTCTCTATCATTACTTACTTATCATAAAATACGCGTCTCTCTATCAATAGTTTACTAATCATAAAATACGCGTTTCTCTATCAATACTTACATATCATAAAATAACCGTCTCTCTATCATTACTTACTAATCATAAAATACGCGTCTCCCTATCAATACTTACATTTCATTAAATTCGCGTCTCTTTATCAATACTTACTTATCATAAAATAACCGTCTCTCTATCATTACTTACTTATCATAAAATACGCGTTTCTCTATCAATAGTTTACTAATCATAAAATACGCGTCTCTCTATCAATACTTACTTATCATAAAATACTTGTCTCTCTATCATTACTTACTAATCATAAAATACGCGTCTCCCTATCAATACTTACATATCATTAAATTTGCGTCTCTCTATCAACACTTACTTATCATAAAATACGTGTCTCTCTATCAATACTTACATATTAGAAAATACTTGTCTCTCTATCAATACTTACATATCATAAAATACGCGTCTTCTATCAATACTTAGGTATCATAAAATACGTGTCTATCTATCAATACTTACTTATCATAAAATACGCATTTTCTATCAATACTTACATATCACAAAATACGCGTCTCTCTATCAATACTTACTTATCATAAAATACGCGTCTCTCTATCATTACTTACTTATCATAAAATACGCGTCTCTCTATCAATAGTTTACTAATCATAAAATACGCGTTTCTCTATCAATACTTACTTATCATAAAATACGCGTCTCTCTATCATTACTTACTTATCATAAAATACGCGTCTCTCTATCAATAGTTTACTAATCATAAAATACGCGTTTCTCTATCAATACTTACATATCATAAAATACGCGTCTCTCTATCAATACTTACATATCATAAAATACGCGTCTCTCTATCAATACTTACTTATCATAAAATAACCGTCTCTCTATCATTACTTACTTATCATAAAATACGCGTCTCTCTATCAATAGTTTACTAATCATAAAATACGCGTCTCTCTATCAATACTTACTTATCATAAAATACCCGTCTCTCTATCATTACTTACTTATCATAAAATACGCGTCTCTCTATCAATAGTTTACTAATCATAAAATACGCGTCTCTCTATCAATACTTACTTATCATAAAATAACCGTCTCTCTATCATTACTTACTTATCATAAAATACGCGTCTCTCTATCAATAGTTTACTAATCATAAAATACGCGTCTCTCTATCAATACTTACTTATCATAAAATAACCGTCTCTCTATCATTACTTACTAATCATAAAATACGCGTCTCCCTATCAATAGTTTACTAATCATAAAATACGCGTCTCTCTATCAATACTTACTTATCATAAAATACCCGTCTCTCTATCATTACTTACTTATCATAAAATACGCGTCTCTCTATCAATAGTTTACTAATCATAAAATACGCGTCTCTCTATCAATACTTACTTATCATAAAATAACCGTCTCTCTATCATTACTTACTAATCATAAAATACGCGTCTCCCTATCAATAGTTTACTAATCATAAAATACGCGTCTCTCTATCAATACTTACTTATCATAAAATACCCGTCTCTCTATCATTACTTACTTATCATAAAATACGCGTTTCTCTATCAATAGTTTACTAATCATAAAATACGCGTCTCTCTATCAATACTTACTTATCATAAAATACCCGTCTCTCTATCATTACTTACTAATCATAAAATACGCGTCTCCCTATCAATACTTACATATCATTAAATTTGCGTCTCTCTATCAACACTTACTTATCATAAAATACGTGTCTCTCTATCAATACTTACATATTAGAAAATACTTGTCTCTCTATCAATACTTACATATCATAAAATACGCGTCTTCTATCAATACTTAGGTATCATAAAATACGTGTCTATCTATCAATACTTACTTATCATAAAATACGCATTTTCTATCAATACTTACATATCATAAAATACGCGTCTTCTATCAATACTTACATATCATAAAATACGCGTCTCCCAATCATTACTTACTAATCATAAAATACCCGTCTCTCTATCAATACTTACATATCATAAAATTCGCGTCTCTCTATCAATACTTACTTATCATAAAATACGCGTCTCTCTATCATTACTTACTTATCATAAAATACGCGTCTCTCTATCAATAGTTTACTAATCATAAAATACGCGTTTCTCTATCAATACTTACATATCATAAAATACGCGTCTCTCTATCAATACTTACATATCATAAAATACGCGTCTCTCTATCAATACTTACTTATCATAAAATAACCGTCTCTCTATCATTACTTACTTATCATAAAATACGCGTCTCTCTATCAATAGTTTACTAATCATAAAATACGCGTTTCTCTATCAATACTTACTTATCATAAAATAACCGTCTCTCTATCATTACTTACTAATCATAAAATACGCGTCTCCCTATCAATAGTTTACTAATCATAAAATACGCGTCTCTCTATCAATACTTACTTATCATAAAATACCCGTCTCTCTATCATTACTTACTTATCATAAAATACGCGTCTCTCTATCAATAGTTTACTAATCATAAAATACGCGTCTCTCTATCAATACTTACTTATCATAAAATAACCGTCTCTCTATCATTACTTACTAATCATAAAATACGCGTCTCCCTATCAATAGTTTACTAATCATAAAATACGCGTCTCTCTATCAATACTTACTTATCATAAAATACCCGTCTCTCTATCATTACTTACTTATCATAAAATACGCGTTTCTCTATCAATAGTTTACTAATCATAAAATACGCGTCTCTCTATCAATACTTACTTATCATAAAATACTTGTCTCTCTATCATTACTTACTAATCATAAAATACGCGTCTCCCTATCAATACTTACATATCATTAAATTTGCGTCTCTCTATCAACACTTACTTATCATAAAATACGTGTCTCTCTATCAATACTTACATATTAGAAAATACTTGTCTCTCTATCAATACTTACATATCATAAAATACGCGTCTTCTATCAATACTTAGGTATCATAAAATACGTGTCTATCTGTCAATACTTACGTATCATACCCGCGATGGTCCTTGCCATCTTTTTCTCCACCCTAAGTTTTTTCCTTGCTATTCGACTGGTCATATCCCATACTCCGTTTCTTGCTATATTGCGTACCTGGCAATACAAAATGACATTTTATTTTTCAAAAAATATAGCTGTAAGTTACTTTCGACACTTGTTAAAAAATACAACTGTTATCTAAATTGTACACATCCGGTTTGTTCTTATTTGAGTTATACATCTATGTATTTCAAGATATGTAATATTATTGTTATATTCAATTTTTACATAAAATTTATCGCAGGTTATCAACGCTTTCAACGACTAGAAACGACCTGATATTTATTTTTCATACATTTTTTTCGTATTTCATTCTTAAGTTATAACAGCTTTTCCTCAATTGTATACCTGATATGAAGATATTTCTTCAAGATATAAGTGTGCCATGTTGACTATCGAGGAATGAACATTTCGTTTGGTTGTTTAGATAGGCAGATAAACTCCACGTTGAAATGATTTCGACTAGCATTAGTCTGCAATAACCGACTTTATCCTCAATGCCTATTTATTGACTATGTTCACCTCGCTATCTACCATTCAAATAGCGGATGGAAATATTCATTATATTCAAATGGCATAATACATAGTCTGTGAAAACGACTTTCCATCTACACATTGTAGATATAGTGTTTGTAGCAATATTCATATCTGCACACTGTAGATATAGTGTTTGTAGCAATATCCATATCTACACATTGTAGATATAGTTTTTTGTTTGTAGCAATATCCATATCCACACATTGCAGATGAAGTGTTTGTAGCAATATCTATATCTACATATTGTAGATATAGTGTTTGTAGCAATATCCATATCCACACATTGCAGATGAAGTGTTTGTAGCAATATCTATATCTACATATTGTAGATATAGTGTTTGTAGCAATATTCATATCTACACATTGTAGATGTAGCTTTTGTAGCAATATCCTTACCTAAACATTGTAGATATAGTGTTTGTAGCAATATTCATATCTACACATTGTATATATAGTGTTTGTGGCAATATCCATATCTATACATTTTAGATATAGTGTTTGTAGCAATATCCATATCTAAACATTGTAATTATAGTAATTTTGTTTGTAGCCTAACCCTAACCCTAACCCTAACCCTAACCCTAACCCTAACCCTCNGTCTAAAGGAACGGTATGTGTGTATATAGTAGTACCTGTATTGTAGATATACTATCAAATGAACAATTTATTGTTGTATATTCGAACAATTGACAATTATGTTCCACTGTGCATATGTATATATGATGTTATATTGTCACGTACGCGTACGTACACAGGTGAGCATTCATCACTCGGTTGGGCTACCTGTATAGGCAATCGTCCGTCACGCTCTATTGACTTACCACTGTATGATGGCCAGCTTAGTCCCTAATTCTCAATGAAAACAGTTTACGTTATTGAAGTTGGAAGTTGCTGAAATAAAACTTTACTTGAATATTACACGTTTAATTCAACATCGACGACATTATGTGTTATTAAATGTGTGCTTTGAT